AAAAAAAAACATTTTGTTTTTGGGTCCTATACGATAAGGTGCGGTATGTATTAGAAGATCTGCAATAAAAATGTTGTAACTTTGCAAAAAGACGTCACAAAATTGCAAAGATACGTTGTCTGAGTTGAACACACCATGTAGTCTCAATGGACAAGTTTTCTAAAGGGGGGCGAGATTGAGTGTAGCGCCCTTTGGACACTTGGATATGTCGTAGTCAGTATGTCCAAAAACTTTTTCCATCGTTGGCTTCTTCCATTCAGCTAGAGTTAAAATGGAATGAGAGTAATATAGCTGTGTTCCTTAACTGTTGAAGCTCATTTGCAGTTCATTTAACGTGAAGTCACGGAAGATCAAAACTAACAGTTTCTATCTTTTTACAGCATGGAGTGCGTTTCAGCTAGTTCTTTTCCCCTTTTAGATGGGTACACATTATCCTGAAGAAGATCCTACTCGACCTCTCATGGACACTGACTTGGAAGAGGACGACACGAATACGCTGTTATCTACCGATGACGCAGACGATCCTGTAATAGCTTGGTTGAATAAGCAGAAGCTTTGTCGAAAGCAAGTTACCGCATGTAGCATAAGGCATCAGCTCGAAGAGGTTGAAGGCCCTCGTGCTCTATGCCGCCGACGTTGTTATGGATGTTATCAGTCGATGTCACGACAATTTGGATGCTCAATAGCAAGTTCTAGAGCGAAACGAGTTCATACTCGATGTTCCAAATGCAAAGTGCATTTCTGTCTTCACTGCTTTCAGAATATGCATATGCAGTGTTAATTTTGTTTATTTTTATCCAGAAGCTCGTCTAATGATGAATTTATTCAGGTTCCTGTTAGTTATATGTTGATTTTGTGACAATAAAGCTTAAATTCAAAAATTTCTGTTCAGTCTTAGTTATGGATAGGAGCTATGCATGAAACGTATAGAATGGTTATGAAGTGCTAGTTTGCCTCTCTTATTAGAAAGCGTCTTTATTGGAATTTCTAAAAATAAAGAATCTTAAAATTCAGTCCCTAAAAAGTGTGCTCTGTCGTGAATGTGCTCAAAAAAATATAATAAGTTGGACATTCATTAAGGATGGAACGGTTTTTTCTGCGTTTTTAAAAAAGGACATTTAGAAAGAAAAAACGATAGAATAATATTGAAATCATATTCCCAAGGAATGTTGTAGCATAGAAAGATCATATATGCCAATCATATTCAGACAGAAAAAGTAGATGATGGAAAAATTTTCTTTGAAGGACGTGTCAGAAAAACAAGGAGCAGGTGATAGTGTGGCTTAGTGGGTTAATAGTTAGAGTTATGTTCAAAACGTTATGGGTTCGAATCCTGTGCAGTTCACAAATTCTGCAAATGCCAACTTTGGGTCTTTTCAGCTTTGCAAGAAGGCTATCACCAGGCAAGGTCAATATGCGAACTTGGTGAATCATCTTTCACGACATGCACGACTTCATGCTTCCAAAAAACAATATTGGTGAGATTTTG